TTTTCAATACAGAAGCAAAGAAAAATTGGGAAAAGGGAAACAACTCTTTTTTTTTTTGTTTTTTTTTTTTTCAATACAGAAGCAAAGAAAAATTGGGAAAAGGGAAACAACTCATAGGGAAAACTTCACTCATRTCACCACTCATCCATGTTCATTCCTTATTTGAACATTAAGCTCTTTTTTTTTTAAGTGATTCAAAGCCAAATCTGATTTAACCCTCTAGAAATCAGTGGCTAATTTGCTTTTCCAGAGCACCACASAAAATGCTTTACCTTTAATCATCCTGACCCCATTCCTCGAGAATTAGGGCATTCCTGTGAAGAACAGGGTCAGGCTGCAGCTGCACTTATTTAAGACAAGCTCCATAACAAGAGATAATTTGTATTGTAAAAGGAGTCCATAATTTTAGTTTAATGCAACAGGTAGGGATGTGTGAAGCTGTGCCTGACGTTGCAGCAGATCCCTTTGGAAGATCAGARGATTACTGTACCCTGCACGTAAACAACATGGCATTAACCATTCCACTGCTACTTGGAACAAGTGTTGGGCCAGCCTGTTTTGAAGCTGAACACTGACAGTAGATAACCACTCACAGCTTCATAGCAAAAGCAAATGGAGGGGAGGAATGTTTTTAATGGTAAATGACAGCTATTTTACATCGGGAGCTTGACACATGTCTACTACCTGCAGCAACAAGTAAGAAATGGGGGTTTCCCTTGCCACYGCCAGACCTTGAACAAGTTACTAAAACTACAATTAATGTCATTAATGCTGGCTTATAAACAACTAAATATTGGGGATTTTTTGTATCCCCACAAAGCATTTCAGAGCATTTTATTCCTCTATCCATGCTAATTAATGTCATTAAAACTGGCTTAAAAACAACTGAACAKTTGAGATTTTTTTTGTTCCCCACAAAGTATTTCAGAGTATTTTATTCCTCTCTCCRTAGTAAATATAGCCTGGTGACCTCAGCAGAAGAGGCTCCATCCTGCAGCTGATCCTGACAGCTGCCAGGGACAACAGCTGCATGGAGAAGGGGAAGTGTCCAATATTGGGATATTGAATATTGGAAGTATCCAATATCCAACCCCGTGCCGAGAAAATAACCCACGAGTTATGGCAGGGTGCCATTTATTTGAAAACTGTGCCTGAGCATGATCCTCCTCCCAGCAGGRTCTACCAAATAGCTCTCAAGGTTTATTTTATAATTTCAAAATTTTAAGTTATTTTAAAAAAGATAATAAACATATAAAATAAATTATATAGAATATATTCAAACTATGTTTTAAATATTATTTAAGYATTTTATATATTGCACATTAAAAATGTAAAAATGTATATTTTAAAAGTGCATGTACACACTTCACATACCATGTAAATTATATGTTAGCTAAACATATATATAAGATATATAATTGAAAAATATTTTACAACTATAAAAATGCAGCAAAACAAACCGCCACGCGTCCGGACTTGCACCGCGTGTCTGAAGAGGGGACATGTCCCATCTTTCCCCGAGCTGTCCCACCACGGTTTTTCCCCGTTCTAGAGCCCTGTGGGGCCAGTCAGAGCGGTGTCCCCGGAACCCTCCCTGGGCCGGTCGCCCCCGTTCCCTCASGGCTGGGACTCCCCCTCACTCACCGGCCGCGGCACCGCTCCGCGGCGGCCATTAAGCCACGTCTCCATGGCAACAACGCTTTTCCCGCTTCAAACGCCCGCGCGCAGCCTCGCGCGCACAGCCAGCCAATAGAGAGAGCGAACAGGGCGGGCGGGGCGTGTCCTAGAGGAGAGAGACCAATCAGAGACCTTTACGGGCATGGGGGCGGGGTCTAAGGGAAGGCGGGTGGGAGGTGTGGGAAGGGCGGGGCTACCGCCAGCGCCGCTGCTGCTGCGATTGGCTAAAGCTGACGTCAGTCATGCGCCGTGCCCCGCCCAGTGTCGCACCCGGAAGCAGAGGTGAGGGCAGGGGGCCATGGCGGCCGCTGTGGGGGTGACATGTGTCCCCGTTCTGTGTGTCCCCGTTCTCTGTGTCCCCATCCCCGGGCACCGGGCGTGACCCTCTGCGGATGGAGAGGGGAGGGAAGCGGGCCGCCAGGCGCCGGCGGAGGGGCCTGCTGGGATTTGTCCTTGTCCTTCCAGGCGCGCACTGGAGATGGTGCTGGTACCCCGGTTTGGCCTCGGGGCTGTGGGGATTGGCGAGGGGGCGTTGTCCTTGTGGCTGATCAGGAACTAATGGAGGCGTTTAAAGGGGTTGGCCTAAAGTGCCGGGCGCCATCCAGGGGCGTGAATGGTGGTGAAAGGCTCCGTGCTGTGGTTTCCCGCGTTGGAAGCTGGAGGTGCCACGATGCCGCACTCGGTGTCCCAGGAAAAAAAACAGTGTTGTATGAAGTTATTATTTACTGAAGAGTGTGGCTCTGTCAATATAAAACTGGGAATCGCCCAGATTTGTAACATGAATTACTCATCTCCATTGCTTTCCCTCGTTCTCTCCATAGGACTACTCATCTTGGCTGCTTCATTTATTGATGACAGTATTTATCACTTAAGAGGTTTGTTCCTTATTGTTTACATCAAATCAGTGCTGAGTATGCATACCAAGAATATTTCMGTTTTGTATAACAGCCTGATGTCTAGCCCAGATAGCAGAGTCTCCTTTGTCATTCATTTTCTCAGCTTTGCCCCTGATATCCCGAGGAGTTCTGTGCTCCAGGAAATCTGTCCAGGGCAATTATTTCAGTATGCCAGTTCCARTAATGTTGAGGTATTACCTGTGTGCAGGGCATTTGTAGTTTCACAATGGAAAAGCTTCAGAGTGTTAATCAATGTCTTCCCTTATGCTTTGTAATTTTTCCCCCCTCTCTACAATATGGTTTGTAATMTATCAGCAGCAAAGGAATGACATGCAGGTCATTTTTCATGCTTTTCAATAATGTTCTTTTTTTAAAAAGCTTTTATCTAGGTTCTTCTTTCCTTGTTTTGAAAGCAGAGTTTTTTACAGCTCAGAGGTAGCTAATAAGATCAATTTAATTCTGTAGTAACTTCARAGGAATGGACAACTTTTTTACTGTGATGAGATGTAAATAGAGTAAATATTTGTAAATATTTGCTGGGTAAATARAGCTGGTCTGTATGAGCACCATGTTTTGTGCTGTTCCACAGCTCCTGGTGCAGTTGGCAGAGGAAAATGGCTGTGAGAGCTTGTGGCTTGATCATCTACAGGAGGCTGCAGCCAGCACCATCCTGTAAGGTCACCGACAGCATCGAGTACCTCCTGCTTCAGACATCCTATGGGACCCACCACTGGACCCCACCCAAAGGTGATGTTGGTTCTGATAACACTCCTGGAGGTTCTTGGTGTCAGATTGCAGGGTGGGTTTTGGCTGAGGTCGGCTGTGAGGAGCAATTACCAGCTGAGAGTAGCTGCTGGCTGTGCTGTTTGATGGTGTTCCTCACACAGCTGAGGGGTCCGCTCTGRGGCTGAAATCCTCTGAAAGTTGTGGCTGTACAAAGTGTTGGGCATGACTAATTTGGGTTGGGGCAGGAGGTGTCACCCAGCTGAGCTCCTCAGTAGCTGATGTTTCCAGTACACATTGRACACATGACTGAAGTGAGGTAATGAGTGGATATTCTACCTTCCTGCTCAGGTCTGAGCCTTTGCCAGGTACCACTGTTGCCAGTGGTAACAGTGCAGGATTTGTTTAACCTGTGTGCAATCAGAATGCCCACATTTTACAAGAAGGCAAACTGACATCTGTAATGGTGCTCTTTAATACACCTTTCTTAGGAGATGCAGGAGATCATTGATGCAGATCACTTGCCTAATGTGGTAGAGATGAGGGGGACAGACAGGGAGACCTTCCCAGCCATCCTTGCTCATCAGTGAGGCCTCAAAGCAGAAGACAATCCCTGTGTGCCAAGACACAGAGCAGCACCTCCTTTGTARAGGCACATGGCAGGGCCAGTGTTTGGCAGCACACAGCCACAGGCCTGGTACMAGGAAAAGGGCAGCACAGAAATACTTCAGGTTCCCTGTAGATCTTCTTATGTGCTGTTTTTTACCCTCTGAGATTTCTTCTTGATAGTTTTTACTTCTCATTTTGTAAAGGACAGTACTTTCAAAGCATAGTGCAGCAGTTTGTRAACAAGAGTCTGCAAACTGGAGGAAAAACATTGTTTTAACAGTGTCAATGATGCTGTCCTATTAAGGGAAAGAACAAAACTTTCCAAGCCTCCCCCTTTGTCTGCTCCACCAAAAGCCTAAGGGAGTTGAGTTTGCAGCTAGTGGAAAGCTAAAAAACATCTGCTGGGATGTGATGCTGTGAGAAGAAACCTTTATGGAAAGGCTCCCTGGGAACGCATTAATTCTGGACAAGCGATTTAAATGACTTACATTTTGGTAGGGAGTTAATTGTCTCATAGGCATGCATCTCACACACCCAGAACCTCAGAACCATAGAATAGGTTGGGATGGCAGGACCCTTATAGGCTGTCTAGTCCAAGCTCCCAGCAGTGAGCAGGGACAGCCTCAACTAGAGCAGGTGGCTTGAAGTCCTGTCCAGCCRGGATGTTTCCAGGGATGGGACATCCACCACCCCTCTGGGGAACTTGTGCCAGTGTTTCACCACCCTCATGGTTAAAACAAGTCTTCTCTGTCCATAATCTGAATCTCTTCACTTTTAGTTGAAAAACAGCAGTCCTTGTCATTCCAGGCCCCGTTCAAAAGTCTGTCTGCTTCTTTCTTGTGAATCACCACCTCTTAGGCACCAGAARGGGCTCTGAGGTCTCCCCAGAGCCTTCTCTTCTGCAGGCTGAATAACCCCCACTCTCTCAGCCTGCCTCCAAAACAGGGGTGCTCCAGTCCCTTGAATGCATGGCTTCCTCTGGACTCAATCCCAATATCATTCCCTCGCTGAGGACTCCAGAGCTGGATGCAGCACTGCAKGTGGGGTCTCTCCAGAGCAGAGGGGGAGAATCACTTCCCTCCACACATTGCTGAAGACTTTAAAGATCAAGAGCTACATACAAAGGCCACAATTGATGGTAGCCTGTAATAGAAGCTTGGTATCAATTTGAGAGAATTTATTGAAGATGAGCTATTCTATTTTATAATGTCTGTGATGGGAATGGTCTTCAATGCAGCCCTGGGGTGTGTGATGTGGTAACAGAACTTGTGCATGATGCTGACATAGATTCAGTGTGGCAGGAGCCAGAAGGGGGAGCTTGTAATGGTCTCTCTGACCACACGCAAAAGGCAGTTTAMAGCTACAGCTGTACCTTGTTATTTTGAAAGTTTCTAAGCAGCTGTAACCCTTATGGGATTAAACTGGACTTGCTTGGTTCCCCTCACATGAACCTCATCAGCCTTATCTCTGTGCCTAGAACTGTGACTTTGCACTAGCTGATGCTGATGGGAAGGGGATGTAGGGTTAATTTTCCTTCTCAAGTTCTATTGGAGCACTGCTAGTGGAAACAGGTGGGAGGATCTGAAAGCTGTGGTGTAAGGTGCTGCTGCAGTCCTTTTTCTGCCCTGCAGATAGATATGTTCTGCACAAATTTGACAATTTACTGAGCTTAGACCTGAGATTGTCARTTGGTGTCAACATCAGATGCTGTTTTCTGCGCAGGTGCTGCTCGAGAGAAAAATGTATTTTATGTTTGAGGTGATGTCCTATTGTAAAGAGGTGTTCACACTTTTGATCCACAGAGAAGTGAGTGGGACCTGTTGCAAAGGCAAAACAAACTTTCCACATGCCCCAATTGCTACACTAAAAAGGGGCTTTGGGTACCTGGGACGTGAGGAAAGATTCATATTTGTGATGAAATTATAGCTATTTGTAGCCAGCTACATAGAAAATAGAGTGACATCAGGGGCAAAATAAAGCTTAAACTTTTTTTTTTCCTCCTAAAATGTCCCAGCTCCTGCTATGTTGCTTTTTTGAGGTATTGCTTGGCTTGTTCTATTTATGTTCTGGTCCGAAGCTTTCATGAGAAAACCAAATCTGACATTTCTCAACAGAAGTACAAACGGCTGGGAAYGTGTTATATTTATCCTTTGTTTGTAGTGGCACCTCTCCTTCTGAGCAACGTAAAATAAATTATGTGTCCTAGGAGAACTACCCAGCTGGTGAAAGGATTGGCTTTTAGGCTTGTTGTGTTTCAGAGGGGAGTATGGGAGAGAAACAAAATGCCTAGCTGCCTAAATGAAACCCACCTTTTAAACGGCATTTGTGGGTGCCTGGTCCTGTTGTTTCTGCACTGATGGCATGAGGAATGGTTTTRCAGAATTGAGCCTTAAGCTTATGTGAGAGGACAGGGTTGAGAGAGGATTAAGAGTCTCAGATGACCTGTCTCCCCTCTAACTGGATAAAGGAAAATTGAGGGATTCAGTCCTCAGTATAATCTAAGGTGGAACATTACGGATGTAGAGTACTCCAGAACCGGAGAGGTGGACTGGGAAGAAAAGATGTTTGGTGCTSATTGTCCGCTGGGAGTTTCAGGAGGTGAGGAATAAACAATGATCCTAAAAGTCACAAGTCAAAGACAAATCATGACATAAGAGTTGGAAAAACAATCATTGTTTTACAATTTCCATTTCATCCTGTATCGGCCACAGTGTGCCCTCATCTCCATCTCCTAGTGTTTCCTGATCAAACCRAAATCTGAGTTTCCTTCCCAGAGATTTACTTTTCCACCCTCTTGGCAGGCCAYGTGGACCCAGGGGAGGATGACCTGCAGACAGCCTTCCGGGAAACGCAGGAGGAGGCTGGTCTGCAGGCCAGCCAGCTCACCCTCATCGAGGGCTACAAGAAAGAGCTGCATTACCCTGTCCGTGGCAAGCCCAAGACCGTGGTGTACTGGCTGGCGGAGATGAAGGACTGCAACACAGAAATCAAGCTGTCAGACGAGCACCAAGCTTTCCAGTGGCTGAAGCTGGAGGATGCCTGCAAATTGGCAGAGTATGAGGACATGCAAGCAACGCTGAAAGAAGTGCATCAATTTCTCTGTTCCAGAGAATAAGTGTTTTTGTGAAGTAGAAGGGGGTTTCTTGAGGGGATGTGGCTGCTTTTTATTTTTTAAACTGGGGGAAGAATTATATGGCTGCAGAAATGTAGATTTCTTTTTTTAAATCTGTAGAAATTCAGTGCGGATACATGGAGCTTTTAAAGAGGTTGTGCTTTTATCTCCTCTAKCTAGCACAAAAAAGTGTAGTCTGATTGAACCACAAGCCAGGGATGTCTGAATTGAAGCCCTGAGCTAACAAAAGACTTCCTCTGTCTCTGTCTCCTTTTCTTTTCCTTTTTTCTTACCCTTTTGCTTCCTTGAAGTGCTGAACAACTACAGATCTTTTTGAGAAATCAGATACTTGATCTATCTTGACTTCTTGATGTAAAGCTAGAGAGTTGAGAAAATGAGCATATGGGGATTTTTAATAACAAAGCGTGTACTGCAGAAGTCATACCTTGAATTTCAAATGAGGAAGCAGTAGTTCTATTCCCTACTCTTCCACTGATATGCAGTGATAACTTGTCAGATCATTTCAGGTCTTTTTTGTTCCTATCATGAATTTATGTACATCCCTAATGTACTGTTATGAGATCATTTTCCATCCAGAGATTCTTAGTAAATGGTTGAGGTATGGTATTAAGTGGTAAATTGAAGTTTTTCTTTTGCCTCTTTGTTTTTTGATCTTTAACAGACACCTTAGCCATACATTTCCCAGGGGGTTGTGAAAGGTACTTGATGCACTTTCTGCACAGGATGTCCAAGGTWATGTGCAGTCTTGTGTCTGTTTAATACTGTCAGCACTTCTGTGGCTGCAGCCACTCATCTTTGGGGGCAGCAGACAATAATAATGTTGCTACCTCTGTCTTRCTTATCACTGTTTCCTTCTAATGGAGTGATTTATAAAATCCTTTTTATAGTACTTCCTTTTTCTGGTATGTGTTTATACACACAAAAAAAAGGATGCACTGTAAAGAGGTTTTTCTATATAATTATGTATGTATATATACACGTAAAAAACTTCAGTGCTCCTCCACATTATAGTCAGGCTTTATTTTGATTATGAACGCTGCTCGGAAGTGTTTCTTTCAGATAGTGGCAGAGAGTGGATCAACCAGTGAAAGAGAGGGTGAGACAAGAGTYAAAAGCCTGTGCTGCTTCACTCTTGGTTTTTCATTACTGTTTGTGCTACCATTTAATCAGTGCTGTGTAAACAATGRTGTTGCTGCCTTCTTGTTCATGAGCAAGATTAGCATATTAAGCTGGAGTTAGAGAGTCACTAACAAGTCATGGGTTCTGCCCATTCAACAGTGATGAACACAGRCACTTGGTGCTTTGGCAAGCACAACATTAGCTCAACTCCATGCCAGTATTTCCCTTTTAATGGCACCTCTTCAGTAGTGTTCTCACAGCCTGTCAAGGTTTTGGAGGGTGACCAGTGTTGTGCACTGTAAGGTGATGTGCTCCTTSGTCAAAATTGCAAGGGATGTAACTGTAATAATTAGTGAGGCACTGTGTGTACATTTTGAGTGATTTATGTACAGAATATATTCTCGCAAATTTTGTGAGTAAAATGATGCTTGCACATTTGGAATCTTCATCTCAGAGTCTTTGGATTTCATTTAAAGCAGAAACGTTGGAAAGTCAGAATTTAACTCTGATTCTTGCTGCTCACTGGTAAAGAAAGAGTTTTTCCTCTACCCTTGTCTAGTAGTAAAATAGTTTCCCAAGGAACGYCTGGGAAACCCTCCAGTAAATAATTTTGGAATAATCTGACCGGGGAACATATTTRTTTCCAACCTCTATTTATGCCCTAAACCAATAGGGCTTGTATTTTCTTTTTTTTTTTACCAGTCAAGTTTTTGGTTATAATAATATCTCATGACAGTAAACATTTTACCATTTAAAAAGAAAAACTAAAATTAAAACAAAAAAAACCCGGAGACTTTTAGGTTCCCTGGAGAGACCTTACTTCTGCCATAGGTTAAATAAAACCAAACTTCAGAGAAGTTCAGGCTACACTGAAATAGCAGAACAGCCTAATTTAGGTCAAGTGAAAGGCGTTGCTCAAGTAAGAGATGTGAGCATATGGTTTCCCTTGCTTTACAAATACACTGACGCAACTCATACTTGTAATTTCCTGGTGTTATTATTTCTTTCTCCACATAATTCCTGACTTATAGCCATGATTACATCATCTCAGARTCGGACAGAAGGAAAGCATACATCCATGAATATTAGGAAAGTGTTAAGACATTGCAAGTGTCACTGAGAAAAGATCAGGATTGAATGTGATGGTCACAGGTAATTATGCTTAAACAAGGAGTGTAAAGGCTGAAAACAATGTCTTCCTCCTGTCTAGAAGAAAAATAACTATTACTGCTCTGGTGGAGCAGTATACCTATTCATTGCCTATTCCATATGATTATAGGAAATCAGAGATTGAAGCTGGTATAAAGTGGCTCTATTTGCAATATCCCCAACAAGCATGACCGACGTTACTTGCCAGTCTATATAATAAAAGAGGATGTGTGTTAAAATAAGGTTTAGTACATCCTAAATATGGAAATATTTTGAGAGACACATGCTCTCTCAGCAGGGCTCTTGCAGTGATGCAAAGAGGACAGTAGAGTGCTACCTTTTAAGTTAGAAAAATGACTTGCTGTTACTTTATTGACATCTTAGTGGGGGTGAATATTTTGGCAGATATCCGGAAGAGACTGTAGAAGGCAGTGCTTATTAATGATGTTCTCACACTGACAGTGTAATTGACAGCCTCCTGTGTCTGTTGGCAGCTAGTTTTGCCTTAAAAAGAATTTAATCATCATCAGGACCTTTGTTTTTTCCTTTATGCCTTGTCTTCAAAGATTCACCTTTTCATACACTCAGTAACTCGAGTTTTGATTCAACGGACAGCTGCAGCTGGCGAATTTCCCAGCTTCATTTAGGTAAGCCTGGGGTTTGTTGTGGGTTAAAGCAGCTCTGGAATTGCTAAGCAGCATGTGCCTGTACAAACCACACAATCTACTCTGGTTGTTTCAACCTTGTGCTGTGCAAGGAGATTGTACTCAAGTGTTCAGAARAAAACCCCAAACAGTGCTTACTGTGAAACAGCAAGGTTAGGGAGGAGATCAGCTGTGGTGACACTCTTCTTGGTGGGAAGAGTGACACGGGATGGAACAACAGCTCTGTCATTTTGGAGCTAGTCCACTTGGTAACTGACATTATCAAAAAGAGGAGTGACAGTCCCGTCTTTCCACTCGATGAGGATCTCTCCGCGCCTCAGGGAAGGGGAGCGGGATGGTGGAAGGTACGGCTGGGGGCCTCTTCGTAAGGGGGTCGGCTCCCGTAAATCAACTCTGCTGCTGGTCGCTGGAGAACTCTTCAGAGCAGAGAGGATTTTCTTCTTCCTAGGAGAAGAGAGAAGAGAGAAATTGCCCCTGACTGTCACTTGGTCGCTCTTCCATGTCAACAGCTTCCTTCAGTGATGGCACAAGGTGTGTTGGAGAGGAGGAGCCAACATTAGTGGCTGCATTTGGGTGGGTCAGTGAGAGGATGGATAAACAGGGTGGCAAAGAGAAACCATCAAGGGTGACACAAGGGTGACCAGACCTATCTGCTGGTAGCCAGAGACGTCAGGTGTGGAATGGGGAAGGGTGCCAAAATCAGGACTTCTGTTTTGAAATGCAGTTTTTCTTTAAAAAGCTGTTCATGGCAAAGCCAATGAACATAAATCTCACTTACTTGTTGTAGTGAACATTGAGTGTCAGTATTATCAATCCCAGTATGAATGCCAGGGGGCTGAGGACCAGCATGGCTGTCTTCCAGTTGGTGCCTGAAAGGGTATCATARAAAGCATCATGTGTTTGCTGTACATGTCCCTGTTCTTACGCAATAGCCATGACTGCCACAAAAAAATCACCTGTAATGTCTCTGGAGAGTGCCAGATAACAGGGAAAGTACTTTGTCTATAAGATCAACATCTTAGAGTTGCTTTTACACTGCCTAGCATCCTTCTATTGAAAGTGGCCATAAAAGATTTTCTTTCTTGCTATGAAGACAATGACATTTCATGCTTCTCCACTCTTGCAGCTTTCTAACACAAAGTAAGAAGGGCTGGGRGAAAGCAGCGGTGCTGGTGGGTATCTGATTCTCCTGGTGAGCTGGGACAAAGAATTTGCATGTTTTTACTATTTTTTTTCTCCCAGGCCTTTGGAGATTTATGTAGTCTTTAAAAAGGCTCTTTCTGTTAGGTAATTTGGTGCCCTCTCTCCCTACTGAGCATCCTCATCAGCACCCTGGATAAATGTAACTCTATCATTATGGGAAGGACACGGGCACTGCTGAACTGTCATTTACCTGGTCCTTTCCTCCTCTGGCTGATCCTGGACCTACCTGCAAGCCTGGCCCCAGAGTTTTTCCCCCGATTTCCATGCTTCTTAGAGTGATTGTGGGATGGATCTGGTGGAAGAAGCAGAAAGACTCAGATTAGCAGCTTCCAGTTGGACCAGGAATCCAAATTCCTCCTGAAGCTTCACTGTAACCACAAATCTCTTTTGGGACCCATAAAGAAAAGAAAAGCTTTATTGTCCTTCGGTGTTCCCCAGCCACAAATGATTTTTGTTCCTAAAACATCTGTTGCCTTCAGGTTAACCCTGTATCACTGAGCTGCTTGCCAAGGGAAATTTCTCAGCACGTTGTGAAAGTACTCAGTGATACCCATGGAAGTTCTTCAGAGGTCCTCAGGTACTTTTCCACCACTGAAAATAGTTGAGTAACCTCAAAATGCTGCCCACTCTTTCCTTCCTTTTTCCTTCTYGCATACACATTAGGAAAAGTGCTCACCCTCGTGTGCTGGGAGCTGTGCCTGTTTGGGCTTCACCGGAGACACTGTGCTGTTGAATTTGTTAGCCAGAGGTGGGTCAGTCAAGCTCACAGAAGGCTCTCTGTCCATGCCATCGATCTTTGATGAATCAATGGTTTTAGCTTGGAAGGAAATAAAACAAAGATCTGTGTGATTATCGTTTAGTTTTTGTACAGGAACCKTGTTACGCTCAGTGCCCAGCAAGGAGAGGGAACCCAGCCCTGCTGGTTTGGTTCTCTGCCCTGCAAAGGTGAGCAGGATATGGAGCAGTAGCAGTCACCTCCTCCTGTGCATCAGGGACCTTCAGATTTTACAGGTGAAATGAAACCTCTCAAGATTGAATCAACAACAAAAGCAGGGATGCTTTTTCTGGTGGTAGATGTGGTTTTTGGTTTAAAACATGAGTACAACATCAGCTGTTAAAGGATGATGTTGTGAGGAAGAGGCAAGTGGCAGAATCACAGCTTTTAACAACACTGCAGATATAAAAATGGGATCCAGAGGGTTGTAAGTAGTGCATACCTCTTGCAAGGCTCAACACCTTCCTTTGCCTTCCAGTCCTGCTGCAGAGTAGGGAATGTGGGGAAGCAACTGCTGCTAGAGGGGAGGTTGTGGGAAATCTGGTGTCAGCAGTTCACCCCTCTCCTACAATGATGCATATGTCAAGACCAAGAAAACCGTGACTTCAGGGYTCCCTGCTGCATATCCAAACCCCATCCCATCCTGTGGCATGAGCTCTCACAGTTGGCTACACACACGTGATTTATTGAGCAGATAACCTGCCGAAGCAGAACTCGTCTGTTGATGATCAACTGGAATTTAGATAAGAAATGCCTAAATGAATACATAGGACTTTGATGTTGTTACTGAGTAGTCAGAAGTTCCCTCCAGTAGACTGAACTATGGGACTGATAGGAAAATTATGAATTTGTGTGAGCCGCACCAAGTGGCACAACCTGATTCAAAGGCTGCTCTGTGTTTACCCTCACAGCCTTATTTGGGGATCCTGGCTCCAAGGCAGCYCTGAGCTGCCAGGAACATTGCCTTGGGGAATGCAAACGCTCTTTTCACATGCCTTTTTCCCATATCTTAAATGTTCSACGCATTTCCTAGCCTATATTTAACTAGCGTATTATGGTATCTAATTTGTATGGTCCGTATTTAACTTAATGTTAAACAAAACACTAACACTTGTAACTACTGTGGTAATTACATGTTTACCTTCTGGTTGGCTAATTAAAAACCTTGAGGGGAAAATGGCCACCTTCTCTGCGCATGGCAGCCAAAGCAGCGAATGTATCTATTTTTATTTCAAATTAGATATAGCCTCTTTGTGTCAAAAGGTTATATTCATAATGCATCTGCTTATGCCAACCAGATACATCACATTTTCTCTTTATTCATTTCTGCAAAGCTCAATATCTCATTGAAGCCATCAGCCTTAAGGTAAGGAATAGTCTTCTGTCAGGGAAATAAYTTTCCCTGTGGCATGTTGGCAACCTCATCACCTACAGAGTGGACAAACACATAAAAACCATTGCAAATACCAGCTCTTTKCTGGTCCCTGGAGTAGAAGAAAGGAGAGGAGGGGAGGAGGAAAGWAGGAATTGAGTGTGATTTTCAGGTCTCAATTCTGCATGCAACTTTGCAAGAAAAGTACTGAAAACCATGTTTCTTTGCAGAAAGGACTTAAATTAAAGCAGGAAACAGGCTGGACTGTGAAYTATAAGTGGT